GGAATATGCCCTTTATCAGATAAATGCAATAAACATATTATTTACTGTAACTATCACCAGGAACCTAACATTCGCTCTTTAGTTGTCGATAGATAGCTGTGTACTGTAATATATGGGTTACCCAACTGGCCTTGTGTTTTTATTTATTGTATTTATGGAGGATGTTTTGACGGTGAATTATTATGACCAAAAAAATAAGAGAAGATGGAACAACGCACTCTGCTTTCGAACCAAATAGAGCTATCAACAATTTTTTGTCCTCATCATTCGCATCTTCAAAGCCAACAATACTGGAAACAGAACAACATAAATGTTTCGGCTTCAGTTAAAGAGAATTGTAAAGGATGTACATCTGATGAATGTTTTTTGTTTGTTTGCTCCTTTATAGAACTAAATTCATTCGACTGAACGATTCAGTTACTCAAATTCATTATCAATTAAGACTTTAACTTCTTCATCTGACTCGTAACGATCTCGAATGACGAACCTTTCAGCATCTGGAACCAGAGAAGCATGCGCACTCTTGAAGCAATTTACATGATACGACGATGACTTCATGATCAGCTTGAACGTATCCTGAATATTCGAATTTGAATTCGGTGCTTGTTTCATGATTATTGAACATTATTTCACTATCGTTCAAGCATTTATACTCGCAATTAGTATTCGTACTGTATGATTGCTTTCATGTTTTCGTGCAATTTTTCAATTCAAAAATGATCGAAATCCGTGGAATTAATCCAAGATTCCGTAATTCTTCTGCAGAACAGGACGGTTGTTCAGTGCAATTTGATCAACGCATTAACGTGTAATGAGCAACTGATCAAAATGACCATACATCAGCGTTTGATCTGCCTCAATATGATCAAAATGATCGCCGTTCTAGGAAGATGATCTACAAATGTCACACTTAACAATGAGTATGCACTCTCGAAAGTGATTCATTCAGTTCCCTCGTTTGATTTCGCTGTTGATAGTGTCTTCGTTATTGTCCACACAATGAGGCTTTTGTTTCGTTCGAAAAGCATCGTGAAAAATTAAAACCTTTTTTTTCCAATTTATTAGTTTTCTGAATTCAGCTCACATTCCTAAACGCCTCTGTCTTATCAGTTATTTTGTTTGAGCTGATGGGAAATTTTCAGTAAGAAAGAAATCTTGGAAGAATGAGAACCTGTTCGATGATTTCCTTACAGTCTGCGCACTTGCCTCGACTCGATCTCGCATACTCTCCTTTGATGGACGTACTCACTTCAGGTCGTACTCCAACTCCAGCTAAAATTTATTTATTTTTCTTAAGTTTTGAATTTTATTTCATTCATTTGTTTCGTTCGTTTACGATTGTTATAATATTCCTTTTTTGAGTGACTTATAAAAAACCTTATCATGACCTACATCCATTAATTAATTTCAAAAAAGGCAGTCGTCAATAGAAGAATTCGAAAGGAGTTCTTTTTCTTTTTTCTCAATTGAACGTGTTCCTCACACAAATAGAATACGAAATAAAACGTGATCACATTTATTATCAGCAATCTTCTCGCGGATTTTCTCCTGATCTTCCCACTTCAACAGTTCCATTCCTCGTATCGACGCCTCATTGATATCGTTACGCTTCAATCGATTCCAAAAACATCGGAAATGGAACCTAAATTCAACATTTCACGATCATTTTTTCAGGTGGGCAATCCGTAGCAACCAGTGAGAGTTAATGGGAATGCAAACTGCCTAAATTCACTCGCTTAAACTGATTTAGCTCACCAGTTATCTTGCAGACCATCAAAGAAACGACTTGGCTGCCGAGCTGACATGCGTAAAGCTTTCTGCAAAAAAATGCACATTTGAAATGCAAGATTAACTTCCTCACCAATCTTCAAATAAATTACACTATCGTCCTACAAATACAACGACTAATTAAAATTAAGGCGATAAATAAGAAATGAAAGTGCTCGGAAAGACTTCGAATTGTTCATTATTTATAACTCAAGAGGATGAGTTTGTCAAGACTGTGAATCAAGCGAAACAGAAAAATATCTTACGGTGTTAACAACTGAATTAAAACNAACCATAGCAATTGGTTCTTTACATCCTTTACAACTTGCTCGTCCACTTTTTGCGTATTCGGCAGCATACGGCAAGTCACTATGTGGTTTCTTGGTTTCCGGTGCAGCTTCAGCCATCTGAAAACAAACAATTCATCTTGACCAGAATGGATCACATGAGAAATACGAGCTTGACTGAACACGTTTCAAAACATGACACTATCAAAACATTGTACATTATCTAAATGCTAATTTTAAAATGAGTAAGCATAAATTCATGGAATGTGAATGTGAATACGAAAACGCGATAAAATTTTGAAAAATTGCTTCTGTACGGTCGAAATCATCTTTTCAGCGATAGATCGAGTTGGTAGTCCCGAAGTTGGAAATGTTGGTTGCAAAACTGTACCCAAGTGGCTACGAACATCGTTGGTGGGCCAACGGTTCACATAGACGGATTTCGAAACATCCTCTTTCCCGCTACTTTCAACCACAAACGTATATATACTCTATATTCTGTCGACATGTTTTTAAAACTGATCGAATGAATGGTTGCGATTTTGTGTGGAGCAGGAAGGTGAGGCGTTTGTCAGACTCGTGCGCAATGCATAAGCTGTGATATGAGAATTCGGAGTGTCATTCTCAAAATACGAGAATATTAGACAGTGACATATCTACAGTTCAGAAGTTTAATCACCCCATTCTAATGCTATACAATCATTTAATGTGGTGCTGGACGGGAAAAAGTCAGGGACGAGGAAAACTGAGGACGGTGTTTACCCCAGAAATGTCCGCGACTGGAAAACGTCGCGATGTGAGCGGGCACGGGGACCTCGATATTCCTCGATCCCCGCATCACACTACAGTCATTCATGGCTGGAGGATTTCGATGCACTCACAATCAGTAAAGCCGTGAGTGTGGATAACCTTTCAAATTTGAAACGGTCGGATGCTTTCTTCTCCCAAAAGCAGCCATATCCATCGGCAACGTACATTTCGTTGATTATTTTTGACTTCAACGCGGTCGCTAGTTTGTTAACGACGATTGCAAACGATCATCAACAGTGAAGTTATGCATATAACTGATATTCTAATGTTCTATGCTAACTGTAACCATATTTGAGCATCTCAATTATCCGTGACTTATTTGCTATTAGACGAGCGATTTTCACCTAAACGATGCCGTTTGTAGCACCTCAAATTGAATCGATCATTTTACATACATTCGTTATCAACGAATTTGTTGTGTTATTTCGGAAAATTGCGTAAGTCAATCTGCAGTGTATGTAGAGTATATGACGCCAGTCTATTCGAATAATCCCAACCAAACAATCAAACCAAACTTCTCATATTAAAAATGTGTTCAGATTCCATCTTTTCTGCGTCCAACAATGAATACAACAAAGTGTTCATGTATCAAAATGATTGACGCCGAATTGTCCCATTCCAGATTGTTTGTAAGTGAATGAACCAAGAACCTCATCAGGGAAGGATTTCTCAACAAACCACCATATAGATTGTTCCATTCCAAAACGTTCGGAAACACCATCCAGTTGTTCGGTGAAAGAAGCACTTATTTGAATAAGCTTATTTATTCATTGGTGGTAATGTTGGCAAAACCCTGAATTGAAAAACGATTACAGACAGAAGGCAAGGCCACAGTGAAGACAAAGCGAGAGTGATGAGATTACAATTTTTTTGCTCACAGCTCTGAAAAATGAAAGCTGAGGTGGTGCTGCTACTATTGGTGCTACACTTATTAAATGACAAATATCATTGAATATGACTAAAGTGGGAATGACTGGTGTGTGATTCAAGATGAATATATCATCAAATTTATCTAAAATGCCACATTTTCTCAAATCCTGAAATGTCACGACTGATATCGCGAAAGAGGAAGATTTGTTGTGTTATATGATGATTTCTTTTATTGTGCGATGAATTTACCTATGGATTATCTATTTAAATGGACAATTTTAATTGTTTTATTGTTGGTTGATGTGTGACAAAAGTACTGGAGCGGTTGATTAGTGCAAAGTGTTATTGTCGAGTAATAGTTGTTATCGAGCGAGGAATTGTTAAAGATTAAGTGGCCAAATAGTTGGATTGAATATATCGAGTGATATTGGCAGTTAATCGAGAGTTATTGGTTGAGGTGGAGAATTCAGATTATTGTTGAGTAGAACTATTGTTGGAAGTAGTGACGTTCGGACTGTTGTTGGAAGAAAGGATTGAGACTGGAAAAAATTGTCACAAAAGGATTTAAAAGAGTTTGTCGTGGTTAGTGGACCGAGTGGCATACATCGATTGGAGTCACTGGTCAAGATTGGTTCAATCGTCATTATTATTGGAGCGATACGTCGTTGTCAAGTAGACAAAGTAATCGATCGTATAGCGGAAAGGAAAGTGATCTTCATTATTTTCTTTCCTTTCATTGTCATATTGTTGTTTCTTTGAACGTTCCCTTTAGAGAATCAACCCAGCCACTCCTGACCCACCATAGGCCAGGAGTAACTACATGAAATCCTAGGATCCTTCAAAACGAACCTCGGGATTTGGATCGAGTTTCCGAAGTTGGGATCTCGCAATCCCATGCAATCACTATTTCGGAGATGGTTTTCAGTAGGATGCAAATCATGACCACTTAAAGTTCTGAGACGACTTGAAGGTAAATTCACAATTGAATTGCTTGAAAGTACCATGAAAATCATTTTTACCGGAAGATATTATTAATTATGAAATATCATTAACCGAGCACTAGCATGAAAATCATTTATATTGGGCAATATGGTTGAATAACAAGATTTGTTGGACAGCAGCAACATCATAATGTCTAAGTTACAATTTAAAAACTGCCTATTCCATTGAAACGCTATCCAATCAGACTCAAAATTTCGTCGTATTCGTTATTATTTTCAGAGTTTTGTTGGCACTTTTGTCGAAGCTGAATTCGACACTTTCATTCATTGTTGTTGAAGAAGACTTCGTAATGGGTGCAGTCGTGGACGGCACCGTACTGCTCGTGCTAGTCGTAACCAAACAGAAACACAACGGTCTTGTAGCAGGATCCAGTGCACAATCACCCTGTTTACCGTACTGATCTTTCCGTTCCACCTTAAACAGATGGTGAATGATGGATCAAAAATTAACTTTTAGTGACACTGAAGAAATTTGCCATTGGAACCTGAGATGTGACGATTGCGTGACCATTTTCGAAGCCTACGCTTGCTTGATAGAGACCATGAGAAGGTGTAGCCAATACAACAACAGTTACGAGATCTTTTCTCGTGTGCGTTTCAATGTAAGTTACCTAAAAATTTAGTATTTCACGTAGAGAACGACGGTTCAGTTACGATGTGAGTTGGTGAAAGGTTGGAGTCAGCTGCATCTGAAGAACGGAAATACTGCTCACTGACCATTCAAATGAGTTGATCTTTTTGCTTTGCGGAATGACTTGGATGAAGCAAAATTTCGTTTTCACATCAGTGACGATGACAATCGACAGTTACAGTACCTTTTCGAATTTGAGTCTTGCGCAAATATGCGAGATATTTTGCGATACCAAAAATTCGTTCACATTATCGACAACAGCACGACCGGCCACTTCAGCACGACGCTCATTCACAGAAACTTCCTTCCACGTGTAGCACAAACAATACGTTTCATCGATCTCCATCTCTTCACATGTCCTAAACGCAACGCGATTAGCATTACCGGTCTCAATTTTCACCTTAACGTTGATCAATTTCCGCATGAATGAGAAGGTGCGATCAGATAGATAACACGCTGAAATGCAGGCATCCGAGCAAGACATGCACACAGCTCTGCAACTAACAACTTGAAAATAACCTATCAGAGGTGATTGGTCTGAACAAACTCATTGCACGCGCACCCCTCGTCTCGCCAAAATCGTCTCTAAAATTCTACTTTCAATCAGATCGTATGCAGGATATTCAATCATTTGTATTCCATGATTTTCCAAACTGTAATAAAACCGTAAATGTTCAACTGAAAAACTCCAGCTGACCATATAAATGACCTGAAATCATGATAATCCCAGTTCTTGTAACCATTTTGTTTACCAACTTTTGCGATATCAACAAGAGTTGCGTAGACATCATAGTTTGATGTATGTCGACGAGCGTTCTTACGAAGGTTCGTTATCAGCTGATCATTGCCACGTAAAAACTTCGGTACTGATATCTGAACTGATGCATTCAGTGAATTGGTCGTTGCTTGTGTCAATAACAGTGATATGAGTTTTCTGAACCTATCACCATAGAACACTGAAACGGTCGTAACGTGATAACGTGATCTCTCTCAACAACACCGTCCGATGTCATGAAACGTGAAAATCTTTTCCGTTATGAATCGTGAAGCATTGCCAGAACTGTTGAATGTGACCAATAAGTAACCATAAGCATTGGATTGTCGTCCTCAAATCGTCCAGTTTCATGGTTTGTTTGAGGGCCGAACCGGAGTCCGTGATCAGCCATCAAGAATATAAAACTGTTCTGAAGTGACGCTTGAAAACGACGAAAGAAATCAGCGAACAACTGCAAGATGAAACTAATTCAGAACTTCTTCCACAATCTTTGATTAAGACTCAATTTGTCTCTGATAGCGAAAGCGCTAAACAAAACAATAATTCAAGATTTTGTTATGCGCCACAAATTCAACATGCTCACTCATGTAACAATAATGGAATCTGAAAAGTTTTCAGAAGAACATAATTTCGAAGAGACAAATATCAAAAATGATTTCGAAGAATCAAACATCAGAAATGACCAAGTCACTAAACAAACCTTGTCGTGAGAATAAAGATTGTTGAGGGAGTCATGATTAAGGCAATGCCAGAGCACACTGAATTTTGCAATTCCATCATATTCCTCCATGAACATCGATGTGTAATTCATCTGTTGCGTGATCATCGTCGCACACTGATCAGCGTGAACACAAGTCTCGAACACGTCGTTCCTCTCCCCACCGAGATTCAATGGCCTTAAAACTTTCTTTGCGATCAACATTTCTTTGGAACTCACAAGATGATATATAACTCATCCCGAAAGGCAGAAGTAATTTCGTCACCTTTCCTTGCCCGTTCAACTCATGTGCATGTGAATTATTGAAACTCTCAGTTCAGCGTGAAATCCACTTCCACAATAAAGCATCGGTGTTAAATGAGCTTTAACAAAATCTTCTCATAAATCCATTTCAGCAATATGTTGAGTATCTGCGACGAATTTCAAACCCTCTCTAATACNAGCGAATAATGAAGAAAATAATGAAGACGAACCGTGCCCAATGATTGGTTGGAACGTGAACGAAACCCTGGCATCCACCGTAGGTGAACGCTGGCCAATAGTCTTCATTCCAAATAGTCGCATATTTTTGATCGACAAAATCGTATAAAACTGTTTCATTTCTGATAAGTGGCGTCTTAAATTATGATCATTTCACGCAGATGAGATTCGTTCCAAGTGCTTTTATTCACTAACCTGGCAAGGATCAGACATCTCTGGTGGTTTTGTGACTTCAAAAAATTTACCAACTTTGATATGGCTCTGACGACGACCTGCAGATGAATGCATTCATTTTAGTCATCACTTGCAAGAAAGATTATCAGATTTATCTTTCATAGGTGGACCACATCCGGTAATAAACGAACGTGCAGATGTGGTCCATTGCTGGATACTACAGGTCTGCACGAACAAAACGCTTTCTGCAGTTCACTCACAATCATCGGAGCCTGCTTGTGCAAGTAAAACCATAAAATTTCCCGCTTTGAAAACATTGGTGGTGAGTGTTGAGTGAGGTTCGGAACTGAACAACTGGAGTGATGAAGGGAACCGATTGCATTCAACGATTGAAGGCTTTCAAAATCTATCGTACTAATAACACCCGTAGATGTGAAGGTCCTTGAACCGTGACTTCTTACTAAATAAATCTTCACATTTGTCGTTGATTATCAGTAAAATTCCGATAAATGATCAGTCAACGAAATCGATGGAGTACCTGCAAACATTCCGAACGCATTTGGACGACTGTTTATGCCAACTTTGTTGTTATGATACAACGAAATGGCATCAAAATATTGTCGCAATACCTATAAAAAAANAAAAAAACTCATTGAGACATGCTTTCCTAGCCGCTCCGATTCGAATAGCGGAGAAAAATTCCAAAAGAATGAACATTTCGTACTTGTTGTGTTTGCATCAACGCTCTGAAACCTGTTGATGATGAGGTTGAGTCAAATATGAACATTAGCACACTGGGATTCTCGGGTCCTTCTTCCACGAATTCCACTCCCTGCGGACGTACCACCTGAATGGTCAAACGGTTATTTTACAGACGTTTACAAATGATCAGAATAATCAATACTTCGATGGGTTATAGTGGCAACATGGAGCAAAGCAAAGGTTCTGATCAATCGCGATGAAATTGATCACTAGCGGCTTTACATGCATCCTGCATAATCGGTGGTGTTGGTGGATAGTATCACAGTTACGTCGAGCTGATGGAGGGTTCTGACGGAATCAGGGAACGAAAATTTGTGATGTGAGCAGACAACAGATAATCGTAATCGGATTCATTAAATTTGATCATATCCAGTCAGAACGTAGTCAATGTTTTCATAATAAGCAGATCATCGTGAGAACGATTCAAATGAACTCACCTGAATATGCAAGTTACTGTATACATGCTTTTTTTCAATGAAACATTGCGTTTCGACGAAATCGCATCCCACATAATACGACTTATTGCGCTCGATTGGNTGCCAGTTCTCGTGGACCACGTGCTCTTCCAGATCCGGAATGATGCATCTATAGTTGCATTCAACTGATTCTGAAACTTTTTCATTCAATGGAACGATCTCACAATCGTACTGTTAATCAGTGAAAATAAGTCTGCTTTTAGTAGATGCAGCCTCATCGCATTTCCTTTAACTTAATATCATCTTGTGCTCTTCGAAGTTAACAGGATCACTTCATGAAGATATCTGGTTGTTGCACAAGAATTAAAGTGATAAGATTTGCTCAAACTTAATTGCACATCCCTCCTCTTTAGCAGATTTACCGAATACTTCCAGCTATGTGTGATGAATAAGTAGTTCCCTTTCGGACTTAGAAAATTTTTTGCTCGTTTTGAGAGTTTGGGGAGCATGTCGACAAGAGTGCAGTTTCGTCATACTCTCAACATTGAGCAGATAAACTTAAAGTACTTTACAGCGAAATAAAGACGAAAAATCGGTCGATTCTAAGCTGCGTTCACATAATTCGATCCACTTGAAGTACTGTTCTGAGCTTTGTTCATGTAATGTCTCCCTTACTCGCATTGGCGTTTGCTTCAGCAATAAACTTTTAATATCGTTCAATGATTTCGATCGTTTGCAACACATCACTTTCATCTTTTGCACTATTAATTTTTATTGTGTCTTGTCATTCGCCAAATTTTTCAACAATATGTTTATTGGGAGGATGAAACTGCTATGAAACTTTCATTCGTTTCTCCTTCGAATGAGTCACTTTCTTCTCAATTCTTTGTCACGGTCACATCTTCCAACATAATGAATGTGCATGTAACGTCATTTTAGAGATTTAATGTCAACATTTCAAAATTTTCAAAGTTAGTCTATGATGCCTTTCACGTGTGGGACTGACTATCCAGCCAGACCACTCTATCAAGCAAAGGCCTCTTTTAACGCTAGATTTATCCTCTCTTTATTCTTATGCACACAAAAGTCGTCTTCATACAGCAAGAGATCGCATTTGTGACGCTTATCTTTGAATTTTTTAGCAGATTTTGAAAGGCTCTGCATATGACATTCACTAGATTGTAGGATGAAAGTCAGACTAATTGTTGGAAGAGCTGGATCTTTGCTCATATCACCTCGGGGCATTGCATGAAAGGCGCTGCAAAGTCATAGTAACAGTGATGTGAAGCACGAGATTCGCATGCTTTAGAGGAGATCATTCTCAGCACTCACTTATCCCATCATGATGCTTCGAGAATTGTACGAAAGTGAATCCGTAAGAAGTTTTGACAACAGAAAGAAGAGTCTTATATCGAAACAGTGTTGTTCAGAGATACATTGTACGAGGCCTCGTTATCAAAAGCAAAATTTGACCTACTTCCCGTCTCGTTAACGACACTCCTCAAGGTTCCATTGATCAGTTCTGTATAAACCGATTTTTGCTTGACCACACAGCCATTTGGTTCTAGACTGAATGTTTTGTCAACATACTGCATCATAATTGGGTCCCAAGGATCCAGTTGAGGTAATCGGCAACCAACTGAAACTAAAATGGTCTAGAAAAGCAAAAAGTTTTCAATTCGGGTTTTATGTAATGATGAAGTGCAGCTGACAAATGCTCCAGGAAACATCAGATATTCCTCAAATCCTATTTATCTTTTTCATAGCTCAACGTGATGCATGTTAAACATGAAAATGGATCTGTCGGAAGGTATGCATGTACTTAAATGATTTACCGGTTTAGATATGGTTAGCAGCTACTGATGGAAGTCGAACTGAATATTGTTCTCTCAATGAGAGCAAATTGTTGTCATTCGGAAGAGCTCGAAAAATGATTCAAATATTTTGCAATGGATAGTACTTATCGGGACCACTTCTGTATCATTATTATTATTGGGACACTGGACAGTTGGTCTGCTGTGCACGACCGTGACCAGAAAATTTGCCTTAAAAGTTTTGCCTAACGACAGTTTGTCTAAAGACACATTGCCTAACGGGCGTGTTTTAATGGATATTTTGCCTAATAGACAAACTGTCTTCAGACAAAACGTCTTCATGCAAAATGTTCGGGTACTGTGCATGATTGGCAGAATGCTTTACGATCGTCATTACGATTGTTCACTGGATTGCTATTCATCCGTGTTCAGTTGTGCAAAGAAACTTTCATCTCATCTGGCTTTCATTACTTTTAGAATATTCCATAAGCCGATCACTATGCACCTATGCGGTTATATTGATCAAAACCGTTGTTTATTATTGATCCCTACAGAATACTGGTTTATCACCGTCGGTGATTTCAAACAGCCACTCTGAGCAGTCACTGGACGCGTGCTCAATCGATCAAGTGAAGCTTATTTTCCAGTTCACTTTGAGCACGTCTGCCCAGAAATCATTGCACGTTTTCGAACAAAATACAACTACTGTGCTTGACGAAACTGGGTGAGAATTGCTTACGATCAGAGGGAAATACGAAAGAGTAGCCCTATACCTTTACACTCACCAAACCAATCATCGAAGTCAGAGTTTCATGAAGATGGATGATTCCCAATGCTAATATTGTTGGCTGTCTGGAAAGACTGGTGCCAACAAACGTAGAATGTGATCTTTGTAATATTGGTAATAACACAGAGGTACAAACTCTCAATGAGTTGTAACTGCTGATATAATTATACGAATGAAGTAATACATGAATCAATAAACAACTAAATTATTCATCACAACGAACTGTTGCGAAGGCATACATGAATATTTNNNNAGTACCATTGAGGAACACCTTTTGAAGTGAATTCAAAATGTCAGTCGACAATATTGACATCCATAAGCTATTGTAAACCAACAAGGAAAAAAGCACCAAGAGAACGACGAATGCATATTTTGCATTCGAGCGAATGACACTTTTGTGAAGTGTCATATCGGCTGTTGCAGTTGAATGGTTTTGTTGTTGGTGTTGTAACCTGCGAAACTTGCTTATTACTTTATTTAAATGGCAAACTCTCAACGCAGTTGCTTGACGAACTTGATCTGGTTCTGTAAACTTTTCAGATCAGTTATTAAATAACCTTGAAGCGACTACACACGAGTTCAACTCATCAGCTCTTACTTGAACTTCGTCGAAACTTTCGAATTATTTCGAATTTTGAGCGAAGATGAAACTCGAAGTCCGAATTGAAATCACTATTTTCAATCAAAATTCCTGTCATGTGATGAAATTTCGAGTGATTTACTCCTCCGGAATCTCATTAAAGCTTACCTCAACGTTGAGCATGAGCTAGACCTTCTCAATCTTTAATCTAAATCATAGATAAGCCTTAGACTGAGGTTTTTGGAGGGACTCGACCTGAGTATTAGATAAGCCTCGTCATATGTCC